GAAGAGACTGGTGGTTTTGGCCAGATGTATAATTCAGGGCATTCCTCCCAAAACATCATCATGTCTCTCCATACTCTAAGTCAATAACCATCCCAGGAATTTCTTATAAAATCCAGCGTGTTCCAAAGGGAAAGAAAGGAGCAAGTGGAGGAGAATGCTAAAGAGTGGTAAAATCTCCAAACAATACCAACTTCTAAGCATGTGTTATCAAGTCTAAAATGGGACTCATAATTCCAACTTCATCCCCTTATTAAATAAACTGGTTTATGCCAAAGTCTTATAAATTATCAGCTATCAAAATGTTGGATTTTTGCTGTTTATTTTAGAAAGACATAATATGAGGGAGCATAAACAAACTAGGGCATCTAATTAGAAATTGTTTCAGATTCAGCTTCTGGTACAAGACTGACAATAAGATCATAGATGACAGATCAAAATGGCAAAAGGCCTGGATAAATACAACTTCTTTTTAATTAAGGAAAGTGTGACAGAAAAAAACAAAGGAAGGAAGAAAGTGAGTGATGATTTCACTGTTAGCAGAAATAGCACTGTTAAGGTGGTAAAGAAAAATGGGAGGAACAGGAATGTGGTAAAAATAGCCATCCCTCCATATCTATGGCTTTTGGTATCTACTGGGGACCTAGAACCAGTCCCCCACTGAAATTGGGGGATGGCTGTAGTTCTCTGTTGGGATTAATGAGATTAAAAGCTACCTAAGAAAGGCAATATGCTAAGGATGCCAAAGGAATGGCCAGGAAATCCCGGGTCCTTAAATCATCGTACCCCTGGATCGTCACCTCTTGGACTGACTTGGGTTTAACCATGGATTTTTTTCCTCTGTTTTAAAAGGTAGCATATATAAATTATACAACATAATGGTTTTCATTATGACATTTTCATACATGTATATAATGTACTATGATGATATTCACTCCACCATTCTTCCCTGTTATCCCCCATTCTCTCCTGCTGGTCTGATCCACTTCATCTTCCCAAATAGTCCCCCTTCTTCTTTCTTATCTTTTTCAAATCTTGATTCTGCATATAAGAGAAAACATGTGACATTTTGTTTGTAAGTCAGGCTAATTTGCTTATTAACATGATGTCCCAGTGTCATCCATTTCCCTTCAAATGACGTAATTTCATCCTTTCTAGGGCTGAATAAAACTCTGGTGTACATATATCTATATATCTATATCTATATCTATATATATCACATTACCCTTATTATCAATTCATCTGTTGATGGTCACCTAAACTGGTTCCATAACTTGGCTAGTGTGAATAGTGCCACAACAAACATGGGTGTGCAGGTATCTCTATTGCATGCTGACTTTGGTTCCTTGGAGTATGTACTCCAGAGCAGTATGGCCAGATTATATGGTAGTTCTATTTTTAGTTGTTTGAGAAACAAGAGTAGCTGAATACACCCAATCTCATTTGATCTCAGAAGCTATACAGGGATATTATGTAGACAGCAGAATATATATCGAGGCACTCTGACTCCTAATCCACACACTTCACTAAAATCAGACACAGGCTTTTACTTCAAATGAATATACAATGGTATATTATCACTTTTCTTATGATCTGGAGTATTTAAACATTTAATTTTAAGTATATTTTGATATCTGAAATCTTAATAGATTATTCTCCCAAGAAATACTTCCTTAGTACATACAAACTACAGAATAAGCTACTTTTTGGACAAAGCCTTACTACATCTTTTATTATCATTATTATTTTATCGTTTTTTACATTTACTTACATTATTTGGGTCACCTCCCTCCCCCGCCTTCAGGCAGAAACTCTTCCTCCCTCTTGTTCTCCAATTTTGTAGAAGAAAAATATATAAAATATAGTAAGTATGACATTTTTGCTAGCTTGAGATAGAGATAGGTATACAGAGAGATTCCTAGTGTTGCTTCCACGCACTTGTGTATTACAACCCAGATTGGTTCATCTGTGACCTCTTCATTATTTCCTAGTCCCCTTTCCATAGTGGCTTTGGCCAGTTTAAGATTACTATATTTGCTCTTATACAATGAGCATATCAACCACATTCAAGTTTTTGGTTTCCTTCCCTTTCCCTATCCCTCCCATGTGTGGTCCTTTGTGTGTGACCTATGTCCAAAAATATTATTGCATTTGTTTTAGGTCTACAGTCTACATATGAGGGAGTACATGCAATTTTTGGCTTTCTGAGCCTAACTTTGCTTAAGATGATGCTCTCCAGTTCCATCCATTTGCCTGAGAATGACAAACTTTCATTCTTGTTTGTGGCTGAATAAAATTCCATTGAGTTTAAATATCACATTTTCTTAATCCATTCATTGGTAGTAGGGCAGCTTGGTTGTTTCCATAGCTTGGCTATTGTGAATAGTGCTGCAATAAACATGGGTGTGCAGGTGCCTCTGGAATAACCTGAGTCACATTTCTTCAGGTATATCCCTAGGAGTGGTATTGCTGGATCATATGGCAGATCTATGTTAGTTCTTTAAGAAGCCTCCATATTGTTTTCCATAATGGTTGTACTAGCTTACATTCCTAGCAGCAGTGTATGAGGGTTCCTTTTTCTCCGCATCCTCACCAACATTTGTTGTGTTCTTGATGGTATCTAACAGGAGTGAGGTGGAATCTTAGTGTGGTTTTAATTTGCATTTCCTTTATGGCCAGGGATGGTGAGCATTTTTTCATGTATTTTTTAGCCATTTGGACTTCTTCCTTTGAAAAAGTTCTGTTCAGTTCTTTGCCCATTTCTTCATTGGGTCCTTGACTTTGGGGGTAGTTTAGTTTTTTAAGCTCCCTGTATATTCTGGTTATCAGTCCCTTGTCTGATATAAAGTTTGCAAAGATTTTCTCCCATTCTGTGGGTGGCCTCTTCAATATAAAGACCATTTCTTTTGTTGTGCACAAGCTTTTTAATTTCACATAGTCCCATTTGTCAATCATTTCTCTTAATTGGTCTCTAGGATAGGATCTCTACTACAATACATTGGCCAACCCTTTTGAATGATGCAACAGTATAGTATAGTCACCTTCCCTGAAGCCATCAAACAGAGAGGTAAGAGTCGTATCTAGTTCTTCAGAGTTTTAAAAGAAGTAGTCACAATTGGTGAAGAATAGTTTCTTCAATAAATGGAATTTAAAAGACTGAATATCTACATGCAAAAGTAAAGTTGGATCCTGACTACTACAGCTTGGATCTGGAACATCCCCAAAAGGCCTGTGTGTTAAAGGCTTGCTCTCCAGCTTGCTGCTGTTGGGAGATGGTGGAAGCTTTAAGAGGTAGGACTGAGTGAAAGGTTTTAGGTAATTAGGGGCATGACCTCAAAGGAGATTGTGGGGCTTTAGTCTCTTCCCCTCTTTCCCTCAAGTCCCGGCCATGAGGTGGCTTTGCTTTATCATGTGCTCCTGCCATGGTGTGCTTGCTGCCTTGCCACAGACCCACAAGCCAATGAACCCAACCAATCATGGACTGAAACTGCAAAAAGCATGGGCAAAAGTAAACCTTTCTCTTTATAAGTTGATTATCTCAAATATTTGCTAATTGTGATGGACACTGAGCACAAATACCATATGCCATACACAAAAAGCAACTCAAAATGCACTAAAAATATAAACATTAAGATCTGAAACCATCAAACTCCTAGAATAACTATAGGGAAAAACTTCAAGGTGATGACTTTCTGGATATGACCCCAAAAACACAGCAAAAGCAAACATAAACAACAGGGACTACATCAAGTTAAAAAGCGTCTACACAGAAAAGAAAATAATACACTGACAGTGGTGCACACCTGTCATCTTAGCTACATGGGGAAGCACAATCAGGAGGATCACAGACTAGGCCAGCCAGGGCATAATGCAAGAGCCTATCTCAAAAATAACCAAGGCAAAAAAGGGTTGAAGGAATGGCTCAAATAGTAGAGTCCCTGCCTAGCAAGCATAAGGCCCTCAATTCAACCTCCAGTACTACAAAAAAAAATGCAAGTATAAGACAAATAAGTTCTGGAGCTGTAATATACAGCATGGTGACTACAGCTAATAATAATAATGTATATTAGAAATGTACCAAGAAGCCGGGCATGGTGGTACATGCCAGTAATCCCAGCACTCAGGAGGATAAGGCAGGAGACTCTTGAATTTGAGGCCAGCCTAGGCTATGAAGCAAGACCATGTGTAATGAAAAAGAGGAAGAAGAAGAAGAAAGAAAAAGAAAGAAAGGAAAGGGAGGGAGGGAGGAGGAAGGAAGGAAGGAAGGAAGGGAGGGAGGAAGAAGGGAGGAAGAGGGGAAGGAAAAAAGAAATTTACTAATCGCTCTTAAGTGTCTCTCCATATTGGCAGGAGGAGGTAACTATGTAAGGTGATGGATCACTAAAAATATTTTTTAATATTCCAGCAATACTCAGGTTGATATTTGATTGTTTTTTCTCATACTTGAACTGTTTTGCTTCAGATTTTTAATTTTGTGATCTGAATGTGTATTCTGTTTAACTTTTCCTTAGAGATAAACCTGCCTACATGTTTTTCAGCCTACCCTCAAACCAAAACATATTTACTAGTAACTAAGAACCATTTTATTTTATTTATATCACCCTCCAAATACATAACAGACATACAATTCACAAGGAATTTTCTCCAAAACTTTATTCAACAGAAATTATAACAAAAATCTTCAAAGTAGAATTTTAGAGTTAAACCACTCTGGTTTCATGTGTCGGCATCATGATGCTATGAAAACATAAAAACGAATGAAACAACTAGTGGAATTCGGTGACCATTATGTTCTTTCCCATCATCCTCAACAAAAATTTCCAGAAATGATGTCACTTCATCAGTTTTAATGGTCATATATGTGAAGCTAAGGAAAGAGTGCTCAATTGTTGACTTGTAGAAAATGGGAAAATATATGAAATATCACAATAGCATGCTTGTTCCCTGGGAGACTCAAGTCCCCCATCGTGGTGAACCATGAAGCTTGCTCACCAGCAGACTCCTCAGTCAACACCATATCCTGCAGGTATTATCCTTGCTACCTAATAAAAAAAAGAGCACAATGATTTTTTTCTTTATCTTCTTCCCTTCACCCTTCTATAAGTGGACAATTTCTATGTCACTGCTACCTAGCAAGGTACTAAATAAGCTGAATCCTCAGCAGGAACCTCAGAGTTCCTGAACAGCTCAGGCATTTATGAAGTAGGATTTTTTTTTCCATGATAAAACGCCATAAATCCAGGAACTGCAGTCTACTCATTCCAGCAAAATTCATAGCATCTCAGAATTGGAGAGGATGAAAACAGCTTCAGCCAGCCCCTCTGAATGTCACTACTAAGCAGAAAAACAATGAATTGGAGTATTTCCAGGTTTGGGCGATAGGTTTAGGAAGAAGCAAGACAGTCCGCCTGGGAACATTTCAAAATGTCCATAAGTTTTTCTCATCAACAGTGGGTTCTGCTTTCCTCTGTCCTCCAGGGATCAGGTATATAATGTCAGTATAGAAAAGTTAAGCCTGTAAGAGTTGGGCAAGTTTGCTAAAACTGCACAGCCCACAAAAAGACACCTCACATTTTAAAAATGCAAAGATGATACCAGTCACTTTTCTGCCAATTCATGATTCTAAACCACCTCACATAACCCCTAAAAATGCATGCAATTAATTACACCAGGATCTGCCCAAAAACAGGACAGATCAATTGAAAGTAACTGCTCTGCTGGTGGCAGGGCAGAGGTGTAACCTGTTTAGTAAGGTCTACTGTCCAATGGGCCAGTACTTGGCATTTTGGTGCTTTGGGATACAATGAAATAAATCAATGATATCTTAAAATAGCTTAGGAACTTAAGCATTAAAACTTAAACAAGGCACAGACAATTAATACCCCTCTTCTGTACTCCCCATGGTCTGCTGTGAATGACTGGCTGAGGAAGACATATGGCAGTGCTGACCCCACATGAAGCATGGGTAAGGAGAGGCTGAGTCTGTCCCAAGCTGGCCCAGCCTGCCTTCTTCACCGACAGTGGCTCTCTGTAAGAGTTCTGCCACCTGCCATGACTTTCCTCATCATGGGAAAGGAGTTGGTACTGTGTGCCCAATAAAGCATGTGCCTCATGGGACAGTGTTTTAGGAATACTGTCATTTTTACCTAACGGGGAAAATCTTAAGCCCAAAGAAAGTGACCTGTAATTTTAGTACTTGCCCATAATTAAGTAGAAATGGGGGGTTTTTTAAGGGATAAGGGGATACGGGAGGTAATTCTCAGCACCCCTGAAGTTGTATGACTAGAAATTAGCTAACATATAAAACTATGCTTGGTTTTGGAACGTTTAACTTCTTAGATGAGTCCAGCAGTTTTTAAATTTATTCAACATGATGAAAATCACTGAGAACTAGGCAAGTCTAGTGTTCTGTGCCCACCTGGGCATCTCTACCCCATACAAGCATAGCACCCACTCCCTACCAATGCCTCCCCCAGGGCACAGCAATAGCATTGCACCATACCCTTGTCATTTCTCTCCTTTCCTACTCGAAAGTCAGTTTTTATAAACTGTTGCTAATATTATTAAGTCACAATAAATTGTTACTAGTTAATACATGTTTTCCTACACATTAACATTTTAGCAGGGAACATCTGAGGGAAAGCAACTAGCCCAAACAACAAATCTCTACCAGGATCTGAAATCGACTGTGGGGTACCTGTGGTGCTGACTTGTTTGGGTTTCTAACATTTACTGATATCAAATGAGTAGTAGTAATTCATTGATCAATGGATGATTGAGGAAATGTGGTATCCAGCAAGGCAGGCTCCCAAATTGCTAGCTTATCTAGAGCGGTTAAAATTCAAAATTCATGAAGCATTACAGTCAGTAGCAGAGCTCACTTCTGTGGGTCCTGATGAAACTCAATAGTGGGAATTGGGTGTGGGGGCCACACCTGTAATCCCAGTATTAGAGAGGCAGATGCAGGAGATCATGAGTTCATTATCAGCCTAGGATACATATCAAGATCCTGTCTCAAAAAAATTAAACAGTGGTATTGAAATGACATGCTAAATGAGCCAGGGAGGCTGGAAAAAAGGGCAAGGGATGGGGGTGAACTACTTTCAGTATCCAGCATGGGAACTTAACAGCCAATTTAAAAGAAAAACCAAGTCTATAGCATGTATTTCTCCCATACCTGTAATGACTATGTTGCCTTTATAGTTGAAAGCACATGAAAAGATTTCATCAGTGTGCCCCTCGAGAACCTGGAGGCACTGCCCAGTCTGAGCATCCCAGATCCTAGCTGTCTTGTCAGAGCTGCCAGTCAGAAGACGGTTCCCTTGGGGGTTGAAAGAAATCTGCAAAAGAGAAAGAAAATGATCACAAGTTTATCTAATGGTTCCCAGTAGATTTTCATCAATAGAAAATGGACATAGCTAACCACCTGTCACCTCTCTAGTCTGGAATTTATTGTGACACAAAAAATTTCTTCATAATAAGAAAAAATATTGTAGGGACTAATACATAAAAATTGAAATCTAGTTGGAAAAATTTAACTACCTAGCCTTCACACAGAACACCTTATAACTTGAGTATTCCAGTCTAGCTTCTTTTCAAGGACTTATTGCACCCTTCTATACTCAAATAAAGAGATAGGGCTTTGCTGTGGATAAAAACTCAATTTGGAGGCTACTTAAAAAGCTGAACATTGATCTACCATATGATCCAGCAATAACACTCTTGGGGATATACCCAAAAGACTGTGACACAGGTTACTCCAGAGGCACCTGCACACCCATGTTTATTGCAGCACTATTCACAATAGCCAAGTTATGGAAACAGCCAAGATGCCCCACTACTGACAAATGGATCAAGAAAATGTGGTATTTATACACAATGGAATTTTATGCAGCCATGAAGAAGAACGAAATGTTATCATTCGCTGGTAAATGGAATTGGAGAACATCATTCTGAGTGAGATTAGCCTGGCCAAAAAGACCAAAATTCATATGCTCTCCCTCATATGCAGACGTTAGATCAAGGGAAACACAACAAGGGGACTAGACTTTGATCACATGATAAAGTGAGAGCACACAAAGGAGGGGTGAGGATAGGTAAGACACCTAAAAAATTAGCTATCATTTGTTGCCCTTAACGCAGAGAAACTAAAGCAGATACCTTAAAGCAACTGAAGCCAATAGGAGAAGGGGACCAGGAACTAGAGAAAAGGTTAGTTCAAGAAGAATTAACCTAGAAGGTAACACACACGCACAGGAAATCAATACGAGTCAACTCCCTGTATAGCTATCCTTATCTCAACCAGCAAAAACCCTTGGTCCTTCCTATTATTGCTTATACTCGCTCTTCAACAAAATTAGAGATAAGGGCAAAATAGTTTCTGCTGTGTAGCAAGGGGGTGGGGGGAGAGAGGGAAGGGATGGGGTAGGTAAGGGGGAGGAAGGGGAAATTACCCAAACATTGTATGCACATATGAATAAAATAAAAATTAAAAAAAAAGAAAAGTCAAAGCAGGCTCCTTCAAATGCAAACCTCAGTATAATCTCTGAAATGTGGTTCTGTAACAGAAAGCATACACATTGTCCTTCAATCTGTGCCATGGAACAAGTTAAGGCACAGTTCTACAAGAAAGGGTTTTCTCATTCATTGCTACCCAAAGTCCAGCACTTTCCATAAATATGTTTGAGTGCCTTCCATGTGCCAGGCATTGTACATTGGCATCTCGGTGCCCGTCAGCATGACATGGCCCTGCATTTCACTGGGAGTCATGCTTTATCCCTCTCTATCCTCAGAGGACAATGATTTGGGCCTCTTCCTGTATGAGTAAAGGCTTGAGGAAGGCAAGGCCATGCCTCATGTGTCAAGATGCATCACTGGGTCACCAGCACCCACATAATGCACTTAGCACAGTGGAAGCTCACAAAAAGTATTTTCTGAACAAATAAATATGTTAGCTTTTGATCCCATAGAAATGTCATTACTAGACAATTCCATAAGCAATACATTCACTTAGAATGGATGTAATCCAATATAGAGCTTTTCATATTCACACATTTATAAAAACGGATGTGTACTTGTTGAGGAGAAATGTCAACAGCCACCAACCAGACTCAGCAACATGGCCCAGACTCCCTTGTCCTCCTGCCTTTCATGCTCCACTTTCCAACCCTTCCCACTTCCCCCTTGTCTCTCAGCTTATGAACAGGGTAGTGGGCTGCATTGCCATGGAGACCAGCACTGACCAGCCAGAGGGCAATGGCCACCAGCAGCAGGTACAGAGGCAGAAGGGGCAAAAGTACAGTCTGGGGAAGTTCTGGGTTTAGCCAAAGTCTTCCAAGACCTAAAACCATCAGGATGATTATTTAATAAGGAAGAGAAAGGCATGATCTCAGGACAGAAACCAAGGATTTGGGCTGAACCTGGAAATGAGCAACCCCAAGTCCCAGCATACTCTGCCATGTTCTGGCAACATATGTAAACCTCAAATCACTGACTGGGTATCTCTGCTCTGTGAATAAGCTTTTGGGAAGAGTTCATATGAAATCTTAAGATACTGCTTTGGAGTTTCTAAATGGATAGCTCCATATTTGAAGTGTGTACTATTTCCAGGAAACATTTTTCAAATGCATCTAATTTGTACAATATTTGATACTTGATACACAGCATGGTTTTTTTTTTGCAATATATAAATTTGCATGATTACTAGAACCAGAAAAGATACTTCATAAGCTCTTTAAATTGCTGTATCTAATATTTGATAACTAAATACTAAATCAGCTAACTAAGTCTTTGTTGGTGTTGAAGAGAACATTGTTTTATACTTTTTAAAATGGTTTAGAAATCATTTATTATGGTGAATTAGAGAGTGGACACAGTTATAAATAAAGTTTTAGGAAACAGATGTTTAGAAAAATGATACAATCTAAAATACTTCCGTACCTTGGTCTCAATACACCTTTTTTTTTATTCTTTAGAAATACTGCATTTTATGTATGAACACTAGATAATTTCAGCTTCAGTTGAATGAAAGTGGTCGCAAATATCTTGAAAGGAAAATTAATTGACATTTTAAATTTCCTATTAAATCAATTATGTACAGGTGAAGTTCATCTAGTCCAATTCATTTTTAACTCTTTAGTACCCAAAGCTCAGAAGAAAAGTCCACTGCCATAAAGGGACATATCTAGAAAAGATATTAATCAACAAACATGGAATACTTTTAGTGGTACAAAATTTCGCAAGAGGTTTTATGAGTTGATTCCAATACATGTGGAACTTAAAATAATGATCAAGCTAGACACAGTGGTGTACATCCGTAATCTCGGTACTTGGGATCTAAGGTAGGATAGTGAGTTCAAGGTCAGCCTTAGCTACATATAAAGAGCCTGTCTCAAAAATCAATTAATCAATAAATAGTAATCGAATTCAGACATGACATAAATTAATTGCCCTGATGGGACTTCTCACCCATGTGTAGCTATCAGCCCTGGCAATAATAAATGACACCACTCTGGACTCAATATATACAGTAATAAATTGTTCAATTTATTAAACCTGGCTTCAACTGTGTCCTCTTCTGGATCAATCCACTTGATGTGAGGAACATTATTTTTCTGCCTATTTCATATTAATAAATATGTCAGGTATTTTAAGAGGCAAATTTTAAAATATTAAAGAATTAATTCTTAGCCCCATTACCCTATTTGTACTAAGAATGCTGTTTATTTTTTTGAAAATAAACAAACTGTTTTAAGTGAGCAAGCAACTCACCTTTGAAATTTCGCCTTCATGGCCTTCCAATTTAGTGATGCATTTTCTTGTAGATGCACAGTAAACTCTTGCTGTTCCTTTTTTGAGAGGAGTGGGGATATGTGTCAATTCGTCTGAAATGCAGAACTTGGGAACACAAGCCTTAATTACCTAAATACCTATCCATTGGCGTATGAGCCAATGATGATTCTGTCTTCCTGCCTATGGTGACAGCCATAGTTAATCCTTTAAAAATGCAAGTTAGTCTGACTGCTGAGAGTTGTTCCTTTCTGTCCTTAGCCTTATTAGAAGAGACCACATGTTCTAAGGCAGAAGAAAGGGTGAGCCTGAGGGTCAGGAATTCAAAAGAAAAAGATTTTAAAGGGAAAAGGGGACCAAAGCAAGTTTTAAGAGAGAGAGGTGACAGCAAGGCTATCACAAGACAATGTAGACAGTGTTGTATCTACCTGATCCCCAAGGCAATAGTGCACACATATTTGGCAATCAGGAGGTAGTGTAAGCATAGCATAGTATGATGTGCTGTCATCAAAGAAATGCATAGACAACGTAGTCATAAGCAGCTATCAAAGATATGATACAGATATGTCCTAGCATCAAACATGGCTTTAAAGGAGATGAAAATACAGTGCAGCATAATAACATCACTCTCAAGGACATGATGCAGAATAGCACATGATCACTGGGTAAAGAGACACAAAAGATCATGTCACTTATGGTCAACAGGCAGAGACAGACAAGTGTAGTATTACACGTGGTCTTCATAGAATTGACGCACTCCTTGTACAGAACCATATACGTGGTTATAAATAAAATGGCACATTTATAGAATCATAAATGGAAATCAATGACAATGCATTGCATAGCATCATGTATGTTTATCACAAAGATTTGGCAGACATAGTGGAGCAGCACATTAGTTATGAAGAGATAGTGATGATTTGCTATAATGCCATCAACGGCGCTCAATTTGATGAGGGAGAAATAGTACAGCATCATATATGATCACCAGGGAGATGACCCAGAACATAGCATTGCATGTAGTTACTATGGAAGTGACAAAGACCTGCATGGATACATGTGGTTATCAAGGAGGTGACACAGACAATGTATAATAGCACATGTGGTTATCAAGAATATGACATGGCCAAACTGTAGTGACATATGTGCTCATCAAGGAGACAAAACACACAGTTTCCATCGTAGCAGGTCCTCAGGGAGATGAGTCATTGTGTAGAATCATGCATGTTTATCAAGCAAAGCAGAAACCCCTCCATAAATTACGAATATAAACAGATTACTCACCATCAGCTGAAGCAGTTGCAATAAGCTTTCCTGTATAATCAAAGCAGCTGTCTAGTATTTCATCATCATGGCCCATCAAGGTTGCCACACATTTTCCATTTGTAGCGTCCCACAACTATAATTTTAAAAAAACAGCCAGTTTTCTGTCTAAAGTGTGAAGGTGACCAGAAGTCTTCATGACATGCTTGTGGCAGTTAAATAATGGTGGCAAAACTATGTATATGCCTCACTGTTCAATTAATTTTATCTTGATTTATGACCACAGACCACCACAGCCAACCATCACTGGTCAGAGAAGACCCAAGTGAGGCCAGATTGAGAAAATAATTTCAAAGTGTATGCTTTAATGATTGGAGAGGAAGGGTCCTCTTTTTATAAGAAGACATCAAATGTTCCCAAATTACAATGCCAGAAAATGAAAGCACATTATAAGATCATAGTACATTTGACATATAATCAAAGGATAATTCCAGAGTATAAACCCTTAATAATTTGTTTCTGAAAGCGTAAAAACTTAGAGGCAGGTAGATACGCATTTGAGGCTCCTTAAAGAACATGCCAATCAAAGTTTAATAAATGAAGTCACTTTTTTGATGATACTGGGGTTTGAATTGAGGGTCTCACACCACTGGGCAGGTGCTTTACCACTTGAGCCATTCCACCAGCCTAATGTTTAATAAATGAACAGTGGACATTAAACAAAAATAATGTGACTTTTCAAATAAGATCTTTAATACATTTGAAGCAATTAAAATTGTTTTAGCACCTCATAATTCCTTCAAACTTGTTTAAATAAAACATTAGCAACTATTATTTATAAATTAATACATTAATTGTATACCATCTTTGAAATTTGTCAGTGTTACAATGAATATCTGACAGAGTATAAAGAATATAGACACAGTATAAAGCAAAGCTACTTCTTGAGCTTACCATGCAGGTCTTGTCCATGGATCCTGTCAAGATTAGAGAACAATCCCAATTGAACAAGGCACTGCTGATCTCAGCACGGTGGCCAATTAAGGTATATACCTTCCTACAAGATGGAGATAATTAAAACTGGTGAAAGATATCTTACAATAGTACATGCACATAAATAAAAAAATCAAGTCCATCTGTGTGTGTGAAATTTTGGGTTTGACAAAATAATGTCTTTGATGATGAAACAAAAATGCTTCCACTATAACCCAAAAGGAGGCTATTAATTTCAACAAAATGTAATTAAATTTTAAATAACCAAAGATAACATTCCTGTGTCTGACTTACGTCTCTTAACATAACATCCTCCAATTCCATCCATTTTTCTAATTTGATTGTTACACATTACATACATTTATTGAACTATCACACTGTCCCCTACAAAAATATGTACAATTATTCTATGTTACTATAAATGTGCAGAAGATTTGGAAACAATGTTTAAGGAGATGGAAATGCTAACTACCTTGCTTCAATCATTACATACTGTGTACATACATCAAATTGCCACACTGTACCCCATACATATGTATAGTTAAAATAATTTTTTAATTACTTAGGACATTGCTTATGGCAACATTTCATAAAGTATTGGGTAACAAATAACAAAGGCAGTCTGAAACTCTAGGAGTGTTCTTATACCAGAAACTAGACATCAAATGACTTAGAAGCCCTTCCTTCTCTCTTGCTTTTTTTTAAGCACATCTTGGTTGGTACCCCTGAAATGAGCATTTCTACCAAAATGCAGACAAATCCAAGAGTGGAGTTTTCCAACATAAGTATGCTAATTTAGTTAACTTCTTAGCAACTAGGACCAAAAATCATTAGGAAGGAAATTGAAGTTCTTGAACTAAAATTAAATTTGGGGAATTAGCTGAGTTTTATTTATTCATGATATTCATACCTACCATAATAACAAGTCATGGAAATTTGATTACATAATACATGGAATGAGTAATAGCTATATAACCAGGAAGCTACTGCTATCATTCTTTGTATTCTTTTATATTTCTGTTTCACATTACTTGCACAAAATTCTGAGAAAGCACTTATTTTGTGGATCAGAAATACCAGAAAGAATAAATTAGTTTATGTTTTCAGTGTGTGCTATTCCTATGGAACCTAAAGCACAATTAATAGATACAAGATTAAACAAATAACATAAGGTCTTCCTAACCTCCTTACAAAGGTTTAAAAATTCTTAAGAATAAAATATTACCTCCCAGTACCAGCATCCCACACTGCAACTGTGTGATCAAAGGACCCTGTGATGATTCTGTTTCCCGAGGTATCAAATGACAAGGAAATGATTTCTGCCAAATGACCCTAGAAAAAAAGCAGAGACTGTCAGGTACACCTATAAATAAAACAATCCCTGCAAGTATGCAACAGCATATTCAAAGGGAAAATCTACAAAAGGAAAAGCTATATACAAAGAAAGGAAATACATAGCTGTCTACAAGTGAGCACAGTTCTCTTTGTAGGGTGAAAAAAAATGTTCTAAAACTAGATTTAGGTGATGATTGCAGAGTATGATTACTAAAACTCATTGCCTTACATGCCAAAAGCAAGTTCATTTTGATGCAATAAAGATTTTTAGGAAGACTGGGTTTTTTTTTTTTTTGAAAAGGAAGACATATTTTGGGAAATTAGAGGGCTCCTCTCACATTTCTTGGAAACACTAAAAAGCTCTGTGTCTTCATGGATTAATTATTAATGGTCAACAAAAGAAAACAGCGTATGGAATGAATTAAATAACTTCAAAAGAGGAACGACTTAAGGTGATCTGACATGAAGTAGATTAATGAATGCCACCTCTGTCCTGACTTTCCCCTGGTTAGTCTAGTGCTGACGAGACAATGGGGAAAAGCCCTCCTCTGCAATCAACTGTGACTCTGGAAAGAGGATCTGACGTAGAGTGCAGCTATCATTTTCCTATTTTAGTAAATAATATAATTATAGTTTTAATATTTATATATCATTATTTTGGTTTGTTTGATTTTTTTGAGACAGGATCTTGCTATCTAGCCTAGACTTGGCCTCGAACTTGTGATGCCCAGTACATTTTTAAATGACAAAAGAATCAGAAAAGTCCATTTCTAAATTGATTTTCTGATTGATTCCAAATGGAAAGGTGAAGTGGAGCTGAATATTGGAATTCTGAACACACATAACGTGTGCTCCCTGACAGCGGACAGGTGTGCAGAGCAGGATTCATTTGCCAAATGCCCTTAGGCAGAGTCAGTAGAAGGAAACTTTCATTGAAACTGTAAGCACTAACTAATATAGAACTTTTTCCTCCATAGCATCCTGAAACAAGAGGTAGCAAGGAAGCAGTGCCTTGTGAAATCAAGATCAGAAAGAAGTGTACTTATCTTAACAATGCTAGGTACTTGGGTATAAAAAAGGAAAGCCCTTGGTATTACTTTAAAATGGTGATTTTTCTCCTTATTTTAGTCTGTTTTTAAAAACTTTCTTAGGGAAAGAATCCTGTTTTCTTTAATTCATTTATAATTTTGAAAGGCAAAGAAAACTATCTGTCCCCTGATTACAACACACAATCGGCCTATTTTTTGTTGTGGCCACCTCAGGTGGAGTGGGATGAGGTGGAAGGTGGCAGGGAACAGGGAGGTGCTAGACATGTGGTGACAGACAAGAGCAGCACCATCAGCACTCACCCTGTGGCCTTTTTGCCTCTGGTCACTTACTCCTGTCATTCTGACTCCATAACATAGGAGGGTTCTAAGAATGACAGGAGAGGACAGGGAGAGGGTAGACAACAGTCCCTGTAAAGAATCCCCTGGCACACCTCTCCAGTTCTGCCTCATCCAAACAGGTAGACTCACCCATTCTCCTTTTAGCTAGATAGACAAGGATGTGTTCTAAACTATAGTCTGTGTATTTTACAGAACAAAGTTCATCAAATAAAAGCTCACCTGGCTTCCCTAGCACCTCCACCTGTGCCTCTTGGGATAGGATAATCAGCAAACGAACTATAACTCCCTTCAACTACATTTGAAAATCAGTAGTTCAAAAGCATCTTCTAACTTAGTGTTTATTTTGTAACAAAAATAAAAATAAAGATGAAGACAAATGGTAGGCTTATTAATATATTAGCATACTGTTAGAGTGAACACTTCCTCTCCATTCTGAATGTCCCACAATTTGGCCGTTGTATCCATACTTCCAGTAGCCACCACTGTGCTTTGAGGGTTAAATGATAAACACACCTAAATTACATGAAATGGAAGAAACTTTAGAAAAATGGTGTTCAAACTGTTAATTATGCATAGAATATCTTGCAATTACTTTAGCAGATTCAGTTTGATTTTTTATCAAAGAACACAACAAAATATCAAATATGAGAAACCTGACGTCTTCAGGTGGAATCCTGAAGCTGTCTCCTCCTTAAGTAAAAAGGCCCTGTTCTCTCTTGTGTCACCTGCTCAGGCACAGCCTCCTATTGCCACTTCCAGACCATGGAAGAACCAGAACAAAAACCCAACCCATCTTAAGTATCATGCTGTAGAGCTCTCATCCTCCCTGTTACTGTCATCATATTCCTTCTGAACACATCCCTCACTAACCAACTGTGACTGCTGGCTCACAATGTCAATCCCATATCCTAGGTAACCTTCCTGTAGGCAATCTATCCTGTACCCCAAACCCATGAGCTTGGTCTCATCTCCAATAATTGCTCCTATAGCTACACCTGAATCTTCTCTAGAAGATTCATCACTAACTCACCCACCACTGATTACAATTTCCCAATACACTCAATTTACTCTCATATTTGTTATTCCTTCCTCCCCCAGCATATGTTCCATTTTATTGAGACCCCGGCCTTTCAAACTTACACAGCTGACCACAGAAACATCACTTCCACCAGTATCCTCAACACTGTTAGTTCCTATCTTTCAAATTCACCTTCCACATAAACTCCTAACTTTAACTTTTATCAAGTCAGGAATTTATCAATCATTCACACCCCCTGTCTCATCTCAACCAAAGTGCTTAAGAAAACTGCATGGGCAACTAGCATTGCTCATTTGTGCCTTCTGCCTCAGCTGAGCCCTCAGCTCTATACCCTACTTTATTTAACATGCCTCTGGCTCAATACATTCCCCACTCTTACCCTGTACTCACACCCTCACTCTTCTCAACAGATACCTGACCTCCTACTACTTCCCTGAGAAAACTCACCTCTCAGATAGGAACTTGTTCACCGAGCCCTTACTTCACTTCTCTTCAGTCTCAGATGCAGTGTCCCTATGCTCCTTCTGAAACTTCTATCCCTAAACTCTTAACGGAGATGTACACACCAACTCTCCTTCCCCTAGACTAGATCCTTCCCAGTGGCCTGTACATATGCCTTAGTTTTTCCCTCATATAAACAAATCTTACTTTATCTTCCTTTGACTCTGTATATTGCCTTTTGGTTACCTTTTCCCCCTTTCAAACCAAATTATAAACCTGGAAAAAATAGTTTACCATCATTTATGATCATTTTCTACTTACTCTTTTTTTATTATATTAGGATAAATTTATTATACAAGGGAAATTCATAGTGACATTTCCAACTAGACTTATATTGTACATTAGTTACATCACCCCCCATCGTCTCTTCCCTTCAACGCCCCCTTCCCTCCCCACTTAAAGCAACTGCAAGAGGTTTCTTTGTTCTATTTCATTTAAGTATATGAACCATGCCATTAAGTATATCAACCATATTCACTCACCTTAATCTCCTTCATTCACCCTCCCCCTTCTACACACACACACACACACACACACACACACACACACACACACACACACTGTACCTATTTTACAGTCCTGTCTTCTGTTATTAATATTTAAGTTGATGTTCTACTCACTCTTCAACTCTACTGAAATCACTCTGGCTGAATACCCAATATACAAAGTCAGTCATCACTTAACTTCCCTAAGGTCTGTTAACTCCTTTGTTCTCACATTTTCCACAGCTGTGAAAATTCTTTGCTTTTCTCTGCTTCCTTCTTATTTTTTGTTTGTTTGCTTGCTTGCTCATTGATGATGGAGGGTGGTTCTACAAATTAAAAGTTTCTCTTTCCCATCTTCCCAGGTGTTATGGTTTAAACATAAAATGTCCCCCACAGGTTTGCATGTTGAATGCTTGGTCCCCAGATGGTGGCATGATTTTGGGAGATAATGAAAACTTTAGGTGGTTGAGCCTCGCTGGAAGAAGTAGGCCAAAGGCATTTGCCTTTGAAAGTTTTAACTGGTCCCCCTGTGCCTTCCTCCCTCTCTGCTTCTGGCTGCCATGAGTCAAACAGCTGTGTTCCACCATGCCCTTCAGCCAATATAGACTGAAATTATATGCTAAAATAAAAATTTCCTCCTTTTAAGTGGTTTGTCATGTATTTTGTGACAGCAACAAAAAGTCTAATGCACACCAGATTTCTGCTAGTCTTCTCCTCAGGTACTACGTTTCCTTTGGGAAATTTCAGTTGCTCAGTGGTTTCTACTGCTTCCTAGATGCCTGCAGCTCACATCCATGCGTCCTCTGCAGACCTCACTGTTCAGTTCCAGGCCCAAAGAGCCAACTGCCAAATAGATGCATGTCTGGATGTCACATGGGACGCTTTTACCAATCTGTCTAAGACTCAAGAGTCATATGGATACAAACTGCTCCTCCTCGCTTAGGTACAAAACTGGTTAACAGCGCTGCCAGTCAACTAAGCCCCAAAGCCGGGAATCATCCTGGATCCCCCTTTTCTCTCATGCCTTTGATCTACTTGGTAACCAAGTCCTACTGCCTCTACTCCCTTCAAATCTCTCACAACCTTCTCATCTGCCTATGACAAGTCTTCATCATTTACCATTTGGACAAATGCAAGTACCCCCAACTGGTCAGAACCTCTGATCTCACCTACCTCTCATTTCTCCTTCATTCTGCCACAAAAATACTCTGACAGAGGCAAGCTGAGCACTTGCCAGCTGAAAAATTTCAATGACATGGAATTACATACAAGATAAAGCCCAGATGTATGGAGGCCCTATGACCCTTCATAAATCTACAGTGTGGTCTTAGCCTGCCACTTCCACTTCGTGTCCTCTCACCTTGTGATCTGGCGTTGATTGGGTTGTAGGTGCACTAAAGCATTGACATCCTTAGCATCCAGGCAGCTGTGCCGCACCAGGGATCCTTGCCCATCACAGGGGATTGTGTGTAGCAGGCAGCTCACCCCAGGGTATTGCACATCTGTATTGAATATTATGTGCATGCCATCCTAGGGGAAGGACAGGAAGTTCTGCTCTGATCACACAGAGCCACCTAAGTTCTCAAGCACACACCACAGGTGCACACCTCTGGGCATTGGCCAGTGCTTTCCCCTCTGCCTAGAATAAGTCACCTCTCTGTAAGTCTCTAAATACCTTTCCTGCCCAACTCCTTCCCTGAACACCTCAACAGCTCCCCCTTCTTAAGCCCTCACTGAACTCCCTGCCCATTATTAGCCCACTTACAACCCATCTTTGTGCCTATTCATTGATGCCTCTTCTCCCTCTACTAAACCTCAAAATCTCTGGAGGAAAAGACCTATGTCCAATTCTAGTAGGTACTCCAAGCTTGTAGGCCATGACTTCACACACAGTTAATATTTAGTAAACATTTGCTGGATGGGCGTTGCTGGCTATAAAAAAATATGACTGTCTTCCTAGAAACTGTATAAGAGAAAAAGTTTTCAAAATTCCAAGGGAGTGTGGTGACATAGTTACTCTCTAAAGACAAGGATTATGTCTTTCTTTGACCTTGGGGAAATTATTCTCTATGCCACAATGTCCTCAATTATGACCCAAAATGGGGAATTACTTACAATATTTACTCGTTAAGAGGCAAAACTAAGCTAACACACACCAAAAGCTTAGGACAGCACCTTGTGGCTAGGAAGTGACACGTGGGGGCACTGCATTCCCCAGTATCTGCAAAGTTCCCTGGATCCAGCATGCATTATTGTTGGATAAATATATCATGAATTTGAAGGGTGAATATAATACAGATTGCTCCTAAAATAAGCAGACTGCTTATTTTTAATAGGCATTACTGTTCCATAGGGCGCCAATTATATCACTAATTATTCTAAGATGAAACACAGAACTGGCCGAGGGCAAGGGCCTCCCAGTAGTGAGAGCTATTTAGAGTATCAGACTATTTATACAAATTGAAGTTCTAATGATATCCAGAAAATATTAAGCCTAAATAGTTTACATGATGCAAAAAGTTATTTTTAATAACTTTAATAATTTTATCAGGTCTCATCAAATCAGTTCTTTAAACACCAGTAAATGAAAAATAAAAAGTAAGGTTGGGTATTAAATATCTATCACAAAACACATGTCTCCTTAGTCAATGCAAAATATTATTCTTTAACAATATCTGCAAATTATTAAAATTTAAGTCACTTTATATCACTACCACATATATAATCTAGACAAACCAAAAACATAGGGTTAGAAAATAAAACTCTATTTTCATAATAGAATCCTAAGAAGAAAACAGCAACATAAACTATACTTTTACAATATTGTGTATACTCACTATTTCTGCTGTGTGGCCCCTGAAGGTATAGTAACATTTTCCTGTCTCTGCACTCCATAATTTACAAGTCTTGTCAAAGGACCCAGTGGCAATTTTGTCACTGCAATTTTTAAAAGCATGAATTTTGAAACAAATTCAGTCACATTATATGACACATTGAACTAAGACAAGAGGTATTAATACACGGTATCTACTTAGAAATTTACTTCACTTTCAAAACAATATGCAATCCTGTATTTATTTCAATAAATAACAAAGTAAAGGTTTAATTTTTGAATGGCAGCAATTCTTATGTGTAAATTTTAAAGACTTTACATTGAAAGTCTAAGTATATTTAGGATTACAATTTTTTAATTAACAGAATGAATATGGCAAAGGATTTAGTTCAGAAAGATACTAACATGAGTATCAGCAATATGTGTATTACCTGCATGAACACAGAACAATTCTGTTAATCGGTATGCACAAGAAAAGTAACAAATATAAAAGGAGACAGATGAAAGGAGAATAATCAAATTAACCCATACTGCTAATAAGGTTTTGAGAAGTTTGACCCTGGGTGACTCCTTAAGAAAATAATACCAATATTATTTCTATTACAAGAAGATTTACAAAGCAGATTGATTAAAAAAACACAAGTCATTTTCAAACAAGAGGCTCCCCATGTTGATTCTGGGGCAAGCAACTGGCCCTACCCAAAGGGTTGAAGTAGATTAGCCTGGTTAACTTTTGATCTCGGCACTAAAATCTTTTATTTTACTCTTGACCCAATTTATCCTTTATTGCATGTCATCCAAATGTTCCTCCAGTTGGGTTATCTTTTGTTTTGTTTTGTTTTGTTTTGTTTTGTTCAGTTTGGTTTGGTTTGATCTGGTTTGACTTGGTTTGACTTGATTTGGTTTGACTTGGTTTGACTTGATTTGGTTTGACTTGGTTTGACTTGGTTTGGTTTGACTTGGTTTGGTTTGGTTTGATTTGGACAGAGTCTTGCTATGTAGCCCAGGTTGGCTTCAAACTCATGATCCTCCTGCCTCAGCCTCCCAAGTGTTGAGATTACAGATGTACACCACCATACCTGACTTCTTTCTTTCCATTTTTTTTTTTTTTTTTGCTTATACTCTCTCTTCAACAAAATTAGAGATAAGGCCAAAATAGTTTCTGCTGGGTATCGAGGGGGTGGGGGGGAGAGGGAGGGGGCGGAGTGGGTGGTAAGGGAGGGGGTGGGGGCAGGGGGGAGAAATGACCTAAGCCTTGTATGCACATATGAATGATAAAACAATAAAAATTAAAAAAAAAATCAGCAATGTTTTTGTTTTTTGTTTTTCCAGTGCTGGGGCTTAAACCTGGGGCCTCACACATGTGAAGCAAGGGTTTTGCCATTTAGACCACTAGGCTACATCCCAAGCCCTGGGTTACCATTATGGAGTTAACTTCATTGCTCAAAAGTGTAAGTGGCTTTAAGACCCAAATTATATATCCTAAAGCAAATTATAAATGTCCAAGACAACTGAATAATTCTTATTTGCCCACACTGACACTGATGTCTGGCTTTTGCCCTCTGGCTCCAGGCTGCTCACATAGTGTTTCTGTGGCATCTCAGACTAAAGGAGAGCAAGGTTCTTTACGCCAATGTCTAGGGCAGCTCGTCCTGGAAAACACCAATAAGCCCCTGCATCTTCCTGACACTCAAGGCTCACTGGCCACCGGGAGTGAGCCTTTGGCACTCATTTGGCATTGAATCCAAGGCTTCCTGGCATTCTCCATTCAACACTGCTATCTTTTAATCTCTGCTTAAGATAAATTCAAGGCCTTGTAAAGTCACCTGGGTCCATTTTTCTATCTCTCCTGCCCCTTAAATATCAGTTTCAAGTTGCTGTTATTTTTTGACCAATGTCTTTTCTATCACAAACTGTTCTCTGTATCTTTATGACACCATATTGTAAAAGACATTGCTAATAGCAATGTTTTTTAGAATTGCTTTATTGAATCAAAACTTACTCGTAGCCATACACAGTTGTGCTGAAGCAAGAGAAGCATGAGTTGGAGGCCATACTGGACTATACAGAGAGAACCTGTCTCTGAATAAATAAGTAAATACAAACAAACAAACAAAAAACTTACTGCTGACTTAATACATAAACACTAAACTGATGGGAGTCTCTCTCTCTCTCTCTCTCTCTCTCTCTCACTCTATCTTATCTTTGGTGGCTATCATAAACTCACTTTGCTGAAACCCAAACAATACAAGGTACAATGAAAACCCTGCTTTAAAAAACATAACTAAAGCAAACAGGAATTAACAATGTAAACAACTGGACATGGGGATTTTAATCTGGGGCACTTGGTAGAATCCAGCAAAAGGGCCTGAATATATTGCTCACCTTTCCCTCCCAAAAATACTTTGTTCTGAAAGAGATGCCCAAAAAAGATCACGTCTGTTAAGCACACTACTAAAAAATTTGGTATTATATTATAGAAAATTGCATTGCAATTAAAGTAGGAACTACACCAGCAGTAAGACAGTGTCATTGGTAATTTCAATGACATTTTTTACTTACTCAAGTTGGTATAATAAGTTATAATAAAAATTGTCATTCTCTATAATGTAGAAATGCATACATCAAAGTTAAATTTTCTTGAATTCACTTATAATATTTAATCATTTTAATGTGCCAATTAAGGCTGGTTGTGCCATCACAATTAATGTGCTTTGAAGCATTACATTCCCAAAAGATATGATGGCATTCAAAGCCTAGACATCAATTTCTAAATTATAGTACAAAAATTCTACTCTAAGTGCATCGAGTCTTTACAAAGTCTCTCTCTCCCCTCTGCCCAAGAGTTTCCATTGTCTTCTAACTGGATGATTGTCCCTCCCTCCTTACTCAGTCTTTGCCTCCTGCTTCTTTCCACTGTCAAACCCTCTGACCCCTTCTCTCTGCCAGAGCAATGCTTCTAAATAGCATACTCATCACTCCACTCTTTTGTTCACAAACCTTTGATAGTAACTCAGTCCTACAGAACAGAGTCTGCACTCCAGAATGCTCTGACCTCACCTCCTTCTGTTTCTCCACAGGAAATGTCCACTAGAGACCCTGGCTGATGAATCCCCATCTTAAAACCCCTCACCCAGGAGTCCTCTCCTCCCCTCCACCTTCAGGCTTAAGATCTAATCTCATGTCCTGTAAAGACACTTGGACCAGGAGGAATCACAGTGATCTCTCCTCTTAACCTTTAAGCCACTAATTGTTTTGTTCTAATTATCACAAAACTATAAAAAATGAACCAGAATTATTGAACTAGCTTCACTAAAGGGAAAAGTCAGCAATCATTAAAAAAAAAAAGAGGCATGTGTTTGAAATGTTTACCCAAGTATACAATTCATTTGCCAATCCTCCCACCCCTGTGTGATCCTGAGAAGTGTACTTCAACTTCGTATTCTTTATGAGAATAATGCCTGTCCCAAAGGCAGTAAGCATTGAAGGAGGTGTTGAAAACACTTTTTAAACACATAGAAGACAGTGAGTAGATTTTAATCTTGTCTTCCTCCTGTTGTCATCCTGATAGATGGAGGGATGAATGCAAGAATGAAGGAAGGCGTAAGTGAATGAATGAACAAACCCGTAAGGATTGTTGAAGGCTATGGCATAAACCACGTTCTTGTGACCCTCCAGGGTGTACAGCTCCTCTCCGGACGTGGTGTCCCACAGCTTGCATGTCCGGTCATAGCTTCCTGTGATAAAGCTAGCAGAAGGAATGTGAGCACATCACAGAGTGAAGATGGCAGGGAGTTAAGAAAGACTTCATTTTTTGCCTATGGGATAATAACTCCTTTATTTGGTCTTTTTTTCTTTTAACAATGAAAAACAAGTATAAAGAATAAACTGAGGGTAATATCTAACTCCTTTGACTTAGAAAGATCTTATCTCAAACCAAAACAAGACATTGCCAAATAAAATGAAGGATAATTTTGCTTATAAAGGTTACATTCCTACAGTACATAGTCATATATAATAAAGTGTATATAATCAGTCAGTAGCATTTTAGAAATCTACACACATGTCTATAAACTGCATTATTCCCCCAGTTGTTCAGACCATAAAAATGTGGCACCACCTTGGATCCCTCTCTTTCCTCCCTCCAGCCTTCTGCCTCTGTTTCCTGTCTCACACCTCAGATTACAAGCTGATCAAGCACATGCTCTCAACATAGGCTTGAAGATTCTACAAGTCATACCCAAAACTCTAGCTAGAAGAAAATGCCTGCTCTGAACTGAGTGATCACCACCGGCACAACCTGCCCCCATTGCCAGGGAGAATACGATGGTTGCCCCCAAGTCAGCTGTTTTTCTGAGTTAAGTTAGTCACAGTTATAATGCTTCCTGAAATCCTAGGGTCTCTCCCACCCCAAATGACACAAATATTATAGAAATTAAGGCTAGTTTGGAGACAGAGCTTAAATTTCTCCTCAATATCAAGTAGGATACAGAAACCAGAGAAATGAACATGTCGGATATATAACTAACTACAATATTTGGTAAACATTCAGAAATTTTTATCTCTTAGCTGCTAAAACTAAGGAAAAAAAAACTTACCATGAGCCTGATTTGTTAAGGGCAACATTAGTCAACGGCAATATATGTGCTCTGAGAACCTTTGATGAAAGAAATCGCCTTTTATTTTGGAGTCATACCAAGTTAAATTTAATTCATTGATTTTAACTTCAAACAAATAAAGACGTTCAATGTTGTCTTAATTATATGTAATAAGTGGGCAATAACTAATACATGAACAAATGAGGAAAAATGCACCTTCTATTATTAAAGCAAACTAAACATTTGGTAGTTGCAGGTAATTATAAAACATGATTAGTTTTGTGTCAATACCAATTTACCTTTAAGATAAATTGTGGCTATTAAGTAAGATACCAAATAGCACTCGTTGACTTGGAACATTTTCTCTTACATATTGCATTTAGTTTTGTGTATATGTATGAACATTGTATATAGGTATGAACATGGCATACAGGAAACACATTAAATATGTTTCAAATACATATTTTATAATGTCTTATTGTTTTTTGAACCCTAAAACTCCCTTCCAGTCAAGATATATCTCATTTATCTTTCAATCTGTATGTCATGGATGCTTAACGAACATTCAAAACTGAACATTGTTCATATTGCTAGACTGCAGCAGTCTCAGTTATGTCTGCTGCTGGAGCGTAGCTATTAATAGCATCCCCTTTCACTGTCAAAAACCCTTCCTTTCAATGGTAAATTACCAGGTCACTGTAGTCACAGAGCTCACACTTGAAGTTAAACAGTGCCACCTACTGGAACAAAAGATATGACAAGGGATATCCAATGGGATAACTACCAAAGAGCACCTGGATATTTTATGTCAGATAGAATAGATGATAATATAAATAATAAGAATATTTGTTATTATATCCAAAACATTAAAAATAAACCAGTGGAATGCCAACCTATTTTTAAATGAATTAAAAAATAATTTTCAATTTTTTCTTTAATAATAAAGAAAAAACTAGGACTGGCGAGTGACTCAAGTGGTAGAGTGCCTGCCTAGCAAATGTGAGGCCCAGAGTTCAAATTCCAGTGCCAATAAAAAAAGAAAGAAAAAAGCTGTGTCAGTGTCAGGGTGGTAGCACATGACTAGTTACACTTGGGAAGCTGAGGGAGGAAGATTGTGAGTTCAAGGCCAGCCTTGGAAAAAAGAAAAAAGTTATTCATAAGAAGCAAAGGCCTACATTTATTGCACTTTTATAGCCACCAAAAACTACAAAGAAAAATAAGCATAATTTATATCACATTAAAATGATTTATCATTTGAATAATTTACTGAAGTATAGTTTATTTCACATAAAAGCAGAACACATGTTGACATGCAATGAAACACAACTTCTTAAAATTATTCTGACTAGAAAATAATTTTAATAATTAAATAACTTAAAACTGGCTTATATTTTCATTAATAAAAGGGAGGTAAACCTACTGCAAATCTTTTTTGTTCATTTTCATTAGGGTGTATTTGTTATACAGGGGGATTCATTGTGATCATTCTGAATAGGCTTACATTGTACATTGGTTAGATTGCCCCCACCATCCCCCCAACCTCCTCCCTGTACCACTTAAAGCAAGTGAAGAGGATTCATTGTTCTATTTCATATATGTATATGAAGCCCATCAACCATATGGCCTCACCTTCATCCACTCACCCCACACACACAAGTACCTCCCACAATGCACCTATTCTACACTCCTGTTAATTTCACTCATTCATTTGACAAATAGTTAATGAAACTTAGTCTTAGCAAGTATATATGACATGAAATAAACCATAGACAAACATTTTTCTTGAAAAAATATTTTTAAGGAAAGAGAACACTACCTTCAGGGAAATAAAAATCAATAAAACATTGATTATTCCCCAAAACTCCTCTACCTAGTGCTTTTGAAACATGCCTTACCTTGAACAGGTAGAAGGTGTGGTTGCTGTGCTGGCCAAGCTTCTCCTGCAGTCTCTCCACTAGAAGCTTCACTTGCTCTGTTCGCGAGGCTGTGATTAGAGGCTCTGCTTTCTGGATCTCTTCCACTAACGCCCCGACATCAGTACTGAAGGTTCACCCCAAAAGATGTTTTTCATGTGAGACATTGCACATATGTTCATTACATGCAGAATTACATTGTTTATAAAGATTTTTAAAAGGTTTAAAATATCACCCTCTTTTCCAAGAAATTTCTGGGGGAAAAATTATCACACAACTGAGTAAAAAGAACCATCATGGAAAGCAGAAGGCCCTCATGAGACACCCAAGCCCACCAGCACCTTGAATTTGGACTGTCCAGCTTCCAGAAATGTGAGCTATAAGTTTCTGTCCTTTGTAAATCACCCAACCTCAGGTATTGTGTGATAGCACAAAGCAGATGACCCCTGAGGACACACTAGTCCTGAGCCCGATGGACTCTTCAGCTTCTGGTTTCTTTTAATTGGATGCATATTGAATACACTTCCTCTTTACATATGTTTTATTCAGTCCTGTAACAACCTGCCCATGAAATGCTCTTACCACAAGTTTTTTTTTTTTTTTTTCAAGATAAGGTCTCAAAAGTCTGTCCAGGCTGTCTTCAAACCATGATCCTCCTGATCTTTGCTCCTGAGTTGCTAGAATTACAGGCATGAGCCACTGGCGCCCAGCATAACTATTTTAGAGGTAAGGAAACTGATGTTCAGAAACGTTAGGCTTGAAATATTTTTAGGGAAACATGAAATGCCCAACCATAAACAAACACTTAAAGAATTATAATAATAATTATCATTTCTTATGAACCATGATATTTTCCTGAAAAAATGTGCAGATTCAAGATTTCCCCAGTATTTGAATAATCCATAGACACTCAAGTACATTTTGCTAGTCCAAAAAATGTATTAAGGTTTTTATAGCACAAAACATCCAAAATAAACTTATTTTTCAAGTCATGTCATGAACATGTTTTAAAAATGCAGTGTGGATCTCCCTTCAAAAAGAGCTGAAGACCAGCTGCAAGGAAGTCCAGCTGGCTGACCAGCCCCAGCTGCAACTCCTCAGGGCTCACTTCAGCACAAGAGCCTCTTGGGTGATCCCCAGTCCATGGCTGAACAAGGGGGCACTGCAAGAGCCTGGCTACTTCTGCCCTCTTGAGGGACCCCTCCAGCTGCGTGGTTTACTTGGGGCCTTCCCCTGTGGCTGGCAGACCCTCTGTTGTCCAGTCTTGCATCATGACGGACAGATGGGCTGCCCCAACTCAATCCTGCTGCATGTGCTCATCTGTCAGATTTAACTGAACAAAAAACCTTTTGCTCACTGACGTCTGTTTCAGCATCTGCTTCCCCAAAATATGACCCCATCCTCTCTTCTTATATAAAGATTCCCTGAGATCCAGTTTTGTACCAGGCACTGAGCTGGGAGTCTGTTCATTCGCTTGGCATTAATTGAATACCTATGACAGCACAGGCCCCTGGAGTGTAAACGATATGATCCCAGTCTCAAAAAATATATCGCATTAGAATAGGAGCGAATGTTTTGAACAGAAATTAATCAGAGACCATTTATACCCATTACGTGAATAGACTCTGAAATACTCAGTTATCACAAGAGTTATACTTCTATAAGATTTAAAAGGATAATAATGTATCTTGGAAAGGTTTTCAGCAACCAGTATGAATCAAAACAGTTTTCCTAGCAAGATTCAAATTAATCAATACTTAGTCTGCATACTCTGCAGTATTTAAACTGCTATGTTCTTTTTTTAAAAAAATATAAAGACAGTATACACATAGTTTATTTCTCACAGTTCTCCTGACAAATGAACATTATTCAAGAACATACTGCATACACAGATAAGAAGAAACATACAAAATGTTTTAAGTGGTGCACAACAAAATCCAGAAGAATAAAAGAACGCATGTGAACTCTTGCTCACCGCACAGACTAAATTCAATCCCTTTGTTTAAATAGTAACAGAAATACAGTCTTTTATGAATCTCGTGCAAACTACAAAAGAGGGAAGTTATTGCTGTATATGATGTTTATATTAGGCTTAAACTGCTATGTTCTTATACAGTAACTCCATTATGTCATCTATAAAATGCAAGTATTTTTATAAGTACAATACTTCCAGATCATTGGGCAGAATGACAAATAAGATCCAGATGTTTACTCACATTCCCTAATTACCATTATAAGTTATTATGAATGAATTCATGATTATGGGCGGCTATGTCTCACATCTCAGGAAAGCAGAGCACTGTTGAGTGACTATAGCATCCTATGAAGAATGGCAAAACACTGGGAGCTCCTGGACTCACAACCCCACAAACCATTCTGAAATGACCTAAGCAGCTATGGTTTTTCTTTTTAAATATAAACTCTGTGCTTTTCCTGAATCCCTATCTGGAAGTTACTCTCTCATATAGAAGTCTACCTGAACCACTAGAATAAGGCCCTTTTTTGTATAATTTATTTCTAAATGGACAATGAGCCCATTGTCCATTAGAAATTAGAATCATTAGAATTAATTATCATTAGAATCTTTTTATAGGTTCTTTAGAATCTGATCTTGACCTTCGCATATTGAAGGTGAAAATACATAATCACCAACCAAAAGAATGTCTAACAAACTTTCTGCTTCCTAGCATAGCCACACAGATCAGTAGCATATCCCATTCACAAAATTAGCAAATTATGTTTGATCTTACATCTCCTCTTCCCTGAAAATAGATTAAACAAAGATTTTGTGAATGAAATTCAGTGACACTGTCTCTGTTACTGCTCATTCTTTGGGTACGCGCTCTGTCCCAGGTACCTAGACTAATACTTGGACCCTCTCTAGAGCAACTTCCTCTGAGTCATGCCTTGACCTTAGGCTAAGTGTCCCCCTTAAAAGCCCAACCTTCCAAGAGGTGGCAGTCCCAGGATTAAGAGAGCTACCTCTCACCACCTGTAATGCTTTGGGGTTTGTGGGGCTCATTTTAAAACTATGTGGCAGCCCATATTGTGTGGGCAATCCCTTAGCTGGCAGTCTCAGGACACAGCTCTAAAACACAGTATTTTTTTATTTCCCCCATTGAGAATATCTTCACCTTATCTGGGTTCAGACTCACACAGGTATAACCACTACCTTTGAAGTGGAGATTTGCATGAGATTTCGTAAAGGGAGTGAATCTGGGTATTCTGGCCTGGCAGGAGATTTTCTCCAGGCTCATATCAAGCTTCAGAGAGACAGGAAGTCTCCCATGACAAGTAATGAGGAAGAACATATGCAATCAGCCCAATGAAATACTCATGTACTGAGAAAACAACAGGCCTAATAATATTTTAAAAAGTTAACATCCAGTACTCCTCAAAAATGTGAAGGTCATCAAAAACAAGAAAGACGTGAGAAATGGCTGCAGCCGACAGAATCCTAGATTCAGGCAAGGATCTTTTGCAAGGCAGCAAAAGGGGGAATTAGAGAGAAACCTGGGGTAGCCTGGGTAGAATAAGGACTGTAGCTAATAGTAATGCGTTGGTATTGATATATTATATTTACAAATATACCAGGGTAATCTACATTGTTCACAGTAGGGGAAAATTTCTGGGAGGTATGCGGTAACTCTGACTTAACAACTTTTCTAATGCTATAGCAGACCAAAATCTTAATTTTTTAAAATAGGCCTTCTTAGAATAGAAGGGCAGACCGACCCTTTTTTCACTTCTACCTCCTCACTCAGCAAGGCCCCCGTGTACAACCCTCAAACAAATAGGAAGTAATGTACCACAGAAGAACAACTTTTAAAACAGTGTACTGTCTGTATATGCAACTCATCCACACAGCACCCAATATCAGGGTTTTTCAGTTTAAAAAAATTTGAAACATGTGTTCTAGCCTCAAACTCACCATCTTCCTGCCCCAGCCTCCCATGTGCTGGAATTACAGAGGCACCACAACACCCAGCCTCCAGTAAAAATTTTTGACTCTAAATAATGCTATATTATGCAGAAAACTTACCTAGGACTGAGCTCAAGCAAATCTATGGATTTGGTCTTTAATTCTCCACTTTTTTCATATTCCAGCATAATTCCTATAAATAAACATAATATTGAACACTTAACAATGACAAAATTTAATACATTTTGACTTTGTTCACCTTTTCTTCAGATTTTTAATTTTTCAACATTGAAAACTTTGCAGGGATATCTGATTCTGAACCAAGGCTATGTAGGTCGTGGTCTTTTCCTATAAATAATCTTGAAATATTCAACAGACTATGATAAGATGTAATTGGCAGTTGGCTAGAAGAAGATGCAATGGTTAGAGGCTTGGCTTGAGGAATGACAACATGGTGAGTTCCCAGGTTTGTCTTTTATCTCCAAATGCCCCCAAACTGGGGGCACCAAGGGACGTGGAGCCAGGAATCACCAAAAGGCACTGACTGAGTTCAAAACAAAAGGAAGAAGAAAGAAAGCTTGCTCCCTATGACAAAAAGACCAGGAAGAGGAAAGCCAGGGACTTGAAAGGAGCCCTAAAGCCTAAGGCCCTCGCAGACAACTGGTTCCCCAGTGAAGCTCTGGGCTGTCCAAGCCTCACTGCACACACTGGGCAGCAATGGCCACAGCAAAACTCCAGAGTTTCTCAGTCCCTGCTCCACACGGGGATCCCCATTGTGATCTGATCTACCTGTAGCAACACTGGCAAAATTCTAGGACCTCTCAGTCTCCTCCACAACTGGATCATTGGGGGACCATCCCACCCACTTGCAAGAGAAGCAGTGAAGCTCAGGATGTCCCAGGTCCCACTTTACAACCAGACACAAAGCAGTGTCAGCAAAGCCTGTGTCTCCTTGCTTTTCAGCCACAGCACCACCAGTCCAGGGGTGACCCTAAAGGTCATCAGGGACAGCAGGAAAGTACCTTCTGCTTCCCACAGATAGTACCAGCCAGAATTAAGCAGGAGCTATAGGAGCACCAGAGAAACAAGGCAAAGCAGAACAAAGTTGCAAGGACTCAGAAAACTTAACTGTCCTTGAAACTGAAGCCCACGAGAATAGACCAGAACCTCATGCTCAATCTAAAATAATATTTTAGAGAGCACCAAGAGTCTGCTAACATGATAACCAAAATATCCAGAACACAATTTTAAAATCTTCCATCATACTAAAACAAGGAAAAGACTATCAACAAACAGCAATACTGAGATGAACAAGATTTTGGGATTATCTGATAAGGAATTTAAATGAGATATCACACAAATGCTTCAAGAATCACAAATTCACCTAAAACCAATGGAAAAATCTCAGGAACTAAATGGAGCTTTTTATATTAATCCAATAGGAATTATAAAACTAAAAAGTACAATAACTTACATTTTAAAAACTTGCTAAGAAGACTCAATAATAGAATAGAGATGGCTTAAACATTATTAATAACCTAGCTAATGACTAAGAACAGAATTCATGCAATCTAAACACCTGAGAGAAAACACTGGGGAAAACCACTGGGAAATCCCTGAGCGAGAAAAGTGAACAGAGCTCCTCTGCTGCCTTATCATATTCCCTCTATGGATGTTGTACCACTACCTCTAAACTCAAGTGTTGGTCTCAAGACCACCTTATGCTTTTAAAAGTTATTGAGTATACCAAAAGAAATTTTATTTTCAATATTTTCCATGTTAAAATTGAGACTTTAAAATATTTACTAGATATTATTAACATTTATTAAATAGCATAGTATGTTAACAAAATAGCATATTTTATAAAAATAGCCATGTCTTCTAAAACAAACAAACAAAACAAAACAGTAGCAGTGTATTCCATTTTTGCAAATATCTTTAATATCTGGCTTAGTTAAGGCCAGCTGCATTTTCATTTCTGATTCAGCATTCAGGCTGCCATATGTTGTCTTGGATGAAATCGAAGGAAAAACGCTGGTTATACACAGACATATAGAAGGAAAATGAAGGAATTTGTTAACAGCCTTTTCAGAATATGGTTCTTCTTTTGTGCTACACTGAACCCAACAAAAGGTAGTTTCTGCAAATTGGTTGCAATGTAGAATCTAAAACCACATCACTGAACTCCTCCACTGCATTAAAATCAGTCTGTCATAATCTTTCCATGGATCTTTTATCAAGGCTTGATTGAAGAACTGTCTCACTGAGTATGCGTATGATTTATTTCATCATACAACATCAAACAATCTCGTTTGTTATTAACACTCCCAATCTCTATCATCTGGAAACTTCTTTTACTGCTGGCAAACTGTCAAGCTCTTGATGGGGATACAGGTTTTCTGGAATTCTACTTTTTACTTGGAAGCTCAATTTTTATCACTGGCAAAAATGCTGACAGTTTTACTGGAAACTTTCAGGCTCACTATGTTCATTTTCAAGAAAATCTCTTCCAAATATCTGAATCCAAAAAACCCTATTTATCTTTCTTTCAAGGGGTGGTGGAGTGACTCAAATGGTAGAGCGGCTGCCTAGCAAGTGTGAGACCCTGAGTTCAAACCCTAGTACAGACAAAAAACAAAAAACAAAAAAAGCTAACAACTATCTAACTAACTGGCTTTCAAGTAAAAACGGTCTTCTATGAAAAAAAAAATCACAGGCATTTTCCTCGGGATAGCTATGGTATATACGTGGCAAGTGCTTCCCATTTGAAGTCCATTATACTCACAGGACACACTCACATACCAACATTTCACTGCACTCATAAACTCTGCAGCTTCATCTAGGAAATTCTTAAGTGAATCGTTTTTTCTTTTCCTCTTGCGCAAATGTGGCAAATGCTAACACTCAGAATCTTGTGTGGCTGCCTTGACTTATAATAGAGCCCAAGCACTGTCACCTCTTACTGCTTTTGCACCAGCAGTGCAATACAGTAAATGTCAATACAGCAAAAAACTCAAATAACACCTTATTGTTATTATGAGTATAGATTTTCCCTTGAGGCACCACTGAAAATGTTCAAAGGCCTCATGGATCCTCCACACTTGAGAATCATCGCTGTAGACCATATTTGATATGACAGGTACTATTCCAGCTACATTCCAGATCAAAGGACGATAGCAAATACTATCAAATCCCTGTATTTACTTTCCAAAAGCACTGAATCGTTGAACTAGAATGTAGCAGAGTTGAAAAGGCATGTACTTGGTATCAGAGAGATCCAAGTTTGAGTTTCAGTTCAAACCTGTACCATTGTCATGATACTAACAAAGTAATCTCTTTGCAGCTTAGTTTTCTCTTCTGTGCATAATACCCACTGTTGAAAAATGAAACTAAGTAGGATACATATAAAATACTTGGCATATAAAAAGTCTAAATGGCCAGTGTTTATTGCCATATTATTAATCAGATCCTGCCTGTGACGTATCCTACACGGTCACCGCATCACTTAAATTAAATGTATGCCATCTCTTCCTGATCCGGGAGGAACGTATAATGTGCTTCCTTTTATTTCCTCCAAACAAATCCTGATGATGAATGCACAGCAGGCACATGATTTGGCCAGGGTCATGTGTAAGTAACACTGTCAAACAGATGAAAATTATACCTTTCCATCTCTGGCTTCCATTTCTCCCTAGATAGTGCCAGCCCCTCATTATCTTCAGGATTTTTCCAACTATGCCAACAGTCCTTTCAAAATCCATGGACTACTAGCACATGACTGGGTGTATGTCCTCAAGTTGCTTAATTCAATTGCATTCCCTGTCTTCATACTACAGGGCCTTTCAAAAATAATCGAGACTGTGACCAACAACCTTCCTCACATACATCCTCTCCAGGCTGTTATGAACTCTCTTTCTTTTTCTCCAATGACCATGTGAATTTTCATTTATTTTTATGTTAACATTTATTTTATGTTAATTTTCATTTCCCTTTATGGTAAATACTGGTAATCTTTATGGTTCAGTTCCAATGATTCTTTTCTTCTCACTTTACATTCTTTCCCTATTCATATTTATCCATGTCCGTGGCTTTAATTTCCATTGATACACAAACTACTACTTATAACTCCCCAGTCTAGACCTTTTTGGAGTTTTAGACACGTGCATGACTTTCCTTCACCTCAAACAAGTTCCGGATCTTCCCCCTTCAGTCCTTCAACTCGGGAGGAGACAGAGTCCCTTTCTCAGTGTCACACCTCTCCACCCACTCAGTTGCACAGCTACAGTCTTAGAAGGAATTCATGTCAACACGGTCTAACTGCACTGATTTGGCAAAAACTACACGGGTAACCCAGGCAGCTGTTGTGTAATGAAGTTTGCTATTTAGAACAGGATAATCATTCAAAATGTTTTTTATGACTCAGGAAACTGCCCAGAACACCACAGCACAGCACCAAACAACTGGAGCAAAGACATTAGTCTGGTATAGGTTTGTTTTGCACTTCCTTCCCACACACATACAGAAGTCGTTTATATTTAAGACCTGAAGTCAAACTCTATTTCGCTAGTGTGAAACAAACTTAGAAAGAAAAAAGGAAAGGTTCTGTGAAGAGTCTACCATCAAAAATTTTGATTTCCTTAGAGCAGAAAAGATAGCTTGTGCCAATTGAGCTTTTCAGCAAAACATGGATATTACAACATCTAAAAATTTTTTAAAAACCTGTAATATGCCATGTGTTCTAGAAATAATTGATTACTTACAAGAACAATAGAATACAAAAAGCCATGATTGTCTCTAAGTAGAAATAAATATATTAACAAACAGAGATATAATTAATGGAAAGATCACATTTACAACTGCAAAGAAACCAGCGAATACCTAAATATAAAATTCATAAGAAATGCATGAGACCTCCTGAACTTCTGAATGTAAAACAAAATTGTGATGAATGGGAAGATGTACTGCAGAATGGGAAAATTCAAGACTATAGAGATATAAAATTCATCTACACAATTAATGTAGTTATTTTTCAGAACTTGAAATTTTACTCTACCAGTTAACATAATAAACTATAAAATAATAAATATGGTGCTGATGTCAAATTGGTCCAATATAAAAGAATAATTTAGGTAAGTTTAATTTTAAAACAGGGTGAAGGTAGCATGGAAAAAGAATGGAATGTTGAATAAGTAATTATATAGTTGGTTGGATTTTTTTTTAATTGATCAAATAGATTTCTACCATACACAATGTACAAAAACGTATTCCAGTGAATATTAAAAATAAAATATAAAATAGTTTGAGTAATTGAGCACATTTACATTTTACTGCCTGTAATTGTGTTTTAAGCATGATGTGAAACTCAACAACTAAAACTTTTACAAATGACACATTTTTCTCTAATAAATTTTAAGTTTCTATACAGTCAAAGATACCACAAAGTTAAAGACAAATGATCAGCAAAGACATTTCAACTATACACACAAAGCTTAGAGAACTTCAGGTGAAAAACTACAAACCCAATTTAAAAAAAAGAAAAATGAACAAAAGGCATGAATGGTCCATTTGCAACAAAAGCAGACAATGATCAATAAATACACCAAAATAAAAGACTCAACTTCGTTGATAAGAAAAAAATTTATCCATCATATTATCCAAAATTACAAAGACTGCTAGTACTCAACATTAGCAAACTAGAAGAAACAGCTGTTCTCATGACAGAAGATGGGCAGGTTATGTGTTTATTTCCCCCGCAAAGCGCTATCACACCTAAGAGAGTGCTTTTAGATATTCCTTTATGTTTTGCAAGATTTTGTCATAGCAAATATTCCCTTTGATTAAAAACAGAGTGTAAGAAAATGGAGAAAAAAGAAGGAAAATGACAGGGGTCAACATTATTAGAATATAAACTTTAAAGGATCAAAACCTTCACAGGTTACCTGATCAAATACGATGCAATACTTTGAAAGGTATAAAGTCATACGTTCAAGGCATTGTCCCTTGGCCAGGCACAGTGGCTCAAGCCTATAATCCCAGACCGTGATTAGTGGAGACTGGGAGGACTGCAATTCAAGACCCCCATCTCAATCAATGGCTGGGTGTGGTAGCTTATGCCTGTCATTCATCTCCAGCTACTCAGGGAAGCACAAATAGGAGGATCACAGTCCAGGCCAACCCAGACATAAAGCAAGACCCTATGTCAAAAATAACCAACACAAGAGGGCTGGAGTGTCGGCTCAAGTGGTATAGCACCTGCCTAGCAAGCTAAATTCAATTCTCAGTATCAACAGACAGAAAGAGAAGAAAACAAATTAGCATTGACAGCCCAAACAGCATAAGTTAATATCCTGAGGAAATGAATAAAAAATTAGCAATCAAATTAACAAAAGTCTGCTTTCTCTAGTAACTACTATCTTATTTCTAGCAAAATGAATAATGTTCAAAACAGTTGGTCTGGCTACTAAAAATTGGAGGTAGTGTGGAACAAATGGATCTAGAAAATAAAGTGCAAACTCTGAAATATGTACATTTGACTGCTTCAACTGTGACCAAATGTCAAGGCAGTTGTTCGTCCTTCCCATAGTTTCTGAGCTCTGACAGGAGCAGAAGGCAGTGTCATCTGTGTGAAGAATATAAACAGGAAACAAAGATGTTAACAAATGCACACGTCTTTCCTCCGTGACTGTTCTCTATGACATCTTAATGTTCTTGATCTCTCCTGGTCAATAAATATAATCCTCAAAACACTTTGGTAAGAACCCTACCTTCAAAATTTTACAATATATTAAAGCTATGCTTTAAAAGAGATTAGTATTCTTTACCAGCCCAACAAAAAACTTTAAAGAATTCGTATTAACCATTTAATTATTGTTTATTTAACTCCTTCTCCTAGGCAAAGAACTAGGATTGCATACAAAAAAAGACAAAGGTTGTCGTAACTGAGTCAGTTGAAGAGCACATAGCAGCATCTACTCTTCACAAAGTCAAGAGTTTATGGATTAACAAATGCAATCAAAATAGAAAAGAATGATCCATGTTCACTTAGCTGAACATTTAGTCACCAGGAATTTAGGTAGAGAGAGGGTAAATTCAGGGGATACTAAAAGCAGAATGTTCCACAATTGTAAGTCATTCAAAAGAAAGTGGGAGGACTGAAAATGGAGAACTAGAAGGCAAACGAACTTGCTGTATATGCAGAAGTGATAAAGGGGCCTGGGCATGACTCAGGGGTAAGAAATGATATTGAAACACCCACCTACTATTCAGCAGTATCTTGGAAATTTGCATCTAATATGGCACACCAATGACTGGAATTTAGAAATTAAATATCTAAGCATGCTAAGTAATGTGATCTCATTATAAGGTAGTCATTGCAAACCTGAACCTAAAGCCTCATTTGCATCTAATACTACTGGTAGAACCACTGATTTTTAGAGCTGGAGTAGAAAAGACCCCTTACCTGACCTACTCACAGTTCAGGAGTTCTAGGCACTCTACACAGGTCATCTTATCAAATTCATTTATTCAACAAATGAATGATTGCCTATTTCATATCCCAACCTCTGCTGTAGATGCTGGACATACAAAACAAACAAGATAGGCAGTCTCTGCCCTCGAAGAGCTGTTAGTCTAGTGCGAAAGACTAAACAAGAAAAATGAGTAAAAAATTGTGGTGTGTCAGATTAAGATAATCATGAAAAGTGAAGAGGGTTGTGAAATATCTTGAGAAAGTAGAACTTTAGAAAGGGAGATCATCTAAGACTCTACTTTATTCACATCTGAGGAAAGAGGTATAACCTGTGGAGAGCATTAGTTATGCAAATGTCTAGGGGAATGTTATCCAGACAAGAGATAGCATCTATAGGGACCCTACTGGAAACATGCCTGGCTGGTCCAAGTCACACTAAGCAAAGTAGGCAAAAAGGAACAGGTCCTGTATGGTCTTCAAGATCACTGCTGTTCTGAGAACAGATTGCAGTGGGGCAAAGGTAGAAGCTTTAGCAATAAAAAATATTTGGAGTAGTCAAATCAGGGAGACACTATGTGATATATAAATATATACTTGAAATATATATTTAAAATAATAAATAATATTTATATATATATATATTTGAAAAAAACTGATAGGATTGTCATTACCGGGTGTGTAATTATGAAAGAGTAGACACAAAGATATGTCCAAATTTTTGCAACAGAAGTGCAGTGGAGGCGGCAGTTAACTGGGATGAGGGAGACCGTAGGAGTGTCCGCATGTCTGCCATGTGAGGGAGACAGTTAGTACTCTGGACTATTTAAGATGTTTTTTTCAGCCTTGAGAACAAATGAGATTGCCCAGAAAAATCAATGCAGATAGAAAACAGAAGTCCAACATCCAAGATCTGGCTCATTCCAACCTTGAAAGATTAGAAAGAAAAAAAGGAACCAATAAGATGGCCCAAGAAAGAGCTAAAGTGAGCCAGAGTGAAAACAGAGTAGGTGCCCTACATGTCAAAGAAGGGCAGAGTGGTCGATGGGTTGAATGCTTCTGTCAAACAAGAAATGCGAGGTGTGAGACATAGCCAGTGGACAGCAACAGGAAGGTCACAGGGGACCTTGAAAAGGGCAGTTCCCAGGGCACAGTAAGAGTGAAAAGATGATAGGAATGAGCTTAAGACAGAAAAGAGGAGAGATACAGGGGGATGCATTCTTTCAAGGAGATTTACTCTGAAGGGAGACAAATGGGTTAGCAGGTGGAAGGGGCCAGCAGAACCGTAAAGGAGTACTACTTTCACCATCTGGCTGACAGCTTGACAGATCAAAACAAGCTGTTCAAGGGAAAAATTGTATATAGTGAGAATCAGTTTTTCTGATCTCAGAGCCCCCATTCCTAACCTATACTCTGCAACAATAGGATGAAGGCAGGACAGTCATTTATTTACAGGGACCAGCACTGGCTTATGAGCTAGCATTGCCAAAGGGAAATTATAAGCACTTAAAGAGAGCAGGCTATTAATCTTAAATTGAAATTTCCTATATTCTTCCCTTCCTATTATATCCTTTTCTTCTTATTTCAATTGGAATTGGAACAGGAAGTATCTTTTCTACAAATGTTAATTTTGTATTAGAGAAAGTTGCCATCTAGAATCAGTCTTTCAGAGGCAGAACAGCATCCCTTGACATTTTAAATATTTATTCACAATAATTTCCATGCTTGGATGGACCTTGTTCATAATCCACTTTCATGCATTCTCTTAACAAGCATTGAGGGGTCCCTATGACCCTGGATCTTTTCTAAGAGCTAAAAGAACAAAATAGGCAAAGTCTTAATTCCTGTAAGGTTTATATTCCATGAGAAAAAGATGAACATTTCTAGAGTGTCTGCCTACAGGTGCGGGGTCCTGAGTTCAAACCCTAGTACCACCAAAAATAAAAAAAAAAAGAGATAAACATTTTAAAATAATAAATAATACTCATATAATGATAAATTTAATAAACAACCAAAATTGTATAGGATAAAATCAGTGAGGGTTACGTTGAATAGATGGTAAAGAAGGGTTTCTCCAGGTCAGTGGCATTAATTAAAACTAAATGAGGAAAAGAGACCAGCATTCCATACTACAAAGAAAACTGAGTCCAGAACAACAACAATGAGTGAAAAGCCCTCATTTAAATCTTGAAAGAACAGAGTGTAGAAGAGTGAGGTTCGAGAAGTCCACAGAGCAGGCTGAGCCAAATCTTACAGATGGCAGATTTTATTCTAAGCACAACAGGAGACCCCCAGATTCCACCGTCTGTTAGTGGGAGACAGACTGTAGGGGAAGAGGATAACAACCAAGCATCCAGTTGACCAGCCATGGAAGTAGCCCAGCAAGTGGTGATGGCTGCTGGAGTGAAGCACTGAACTAAATTGGTAGCTAGAAGAGATGCTGAATAAAGAAAACTGTACAATGGGAAAAGGTCAATCTAAAGAGTCACAGTATATTTTGGAAGTAGAGAGAACAGAATCTGGTGATAGAATGGACAAGAGAGTGCAGACAGGGCAGTGAGGGGTTATGAGAGAGAGAAATAAAGGATGACCACCAGGTTTTTGACAGAAAAACTGGATGGGTAGTGATGTCATCTACTGACAAGATATAGTCTGTGACAGCAATGAAATATCTGTGAATATTAGACATTTCTGTAGAGATGTTAGCTAAACTTTTGGCGCATTTCTGGGGAAAGTGAGACAAGCCCTGCCCTCATAACGCCATCTTAGATCAAACTGGTCCAATGTGGCCTTACTCTTCTTTCCTATCTTCATGCCATTTCTTCATCCAAACTTTTCATATTGGGCAAGTATATTTTGGTCATCTTTTGCTCTGTGACAAATTTTGTACACTTTATATTCTTCTTCTTTTTCAATATGAGCTCTGAGTCAGAAGCCAAGCATTCTACTCCTGTTTTGTCTTTAAAAAGCTGGGTAACTGGTAAGACTCACTTACTCTCTGGAAGTGACCCTGTCCTCACCTATAGAATAAGAGGACCAGAAAAGTATATCCTACTCCAAACCAATAGCATTTTGTGGATTTATTTCATAATCACTTAATTCACTGGTATTAAAGGCTATGACCCTCTTTAAAATCACATGGCAAGACGCACAGAGTCTACAAGTAGTAAACTCTCAAATATATTGTTTTATTGATATGCACAGGATGGAATATAGTCACTAACATAATAAGCTTTGTTTGTTTGTTCAAACTCCACACACCATGACTTGATCATTTTAAACTTGGCGCGTTTAAAATAAAAAATAATAAGGTCCTTCTGTTGTCTTCCCTTCCAGAAACCAATACCCATCACCAATCATTGCCTCTGAGGCCCCATCGCCCTCACTCCTGAGTGACCAGGAAGCATTACATTTAAAAGTTTGAAAACTTCCAAAGAGTCACTTAACAGGTTTTGAGGAGCAGAGTCCAGCATCTGAACGAGTGTGGGCTCAGGCTGGAAAGCCCGGCTTCAGGTCCCACCTGTGCCACTCACTTGGGACCCTGACGCCCCCCACCCGGGGGTCGCTGTACCCTCCTCCAACCCAGACCCTCCCAGTTTGGGGGTCCGGGGCCTACGTGTGGGGACCGGTACCTGGCGGGTAATATCGGAGCAAGAGGCTCTTGAGCTTCATTTTCTCACTCTCACATCCCACGCCAATGGGCTTCGTAGCCATGGAAACGGCCAAACAGCCACGGGTCGGGACGCGCATGCGCAGGCGTTTCTGTGCGTTCCACGGTTTGCCCTGGCTGTGCGCTTTCAGCCCGCTCTGCAGGCAGGAAGGAGTTCACGGTTTCTCCCGGGGATAGTAAGAGTTTTTAAAGTTCTTAAAAGTTCTCTAAATTGAATCACTTATTTTACGTTTATTTTTAAGTTGTTATTTCAAAGAAACATCTTGTTACAGTGATCAATGAAAATTTCATATAATTTTCAATAAAGAGCAGGCAAAAATATATGCAATTTTTTAAAAAGCTAGTAAATTACTGTACTGTTGCCTGCCAAAACTGAACCTTTCCTTTTCTTTGCTACAAAAAAAAATGGGGAGAAAACAATAGAAACTATCTGAGATTTTCAAGGCCGGGTAGCGCTCAACTGAGTCTTTCCGCTTGTGCTCGGCAAGGAAAGGTCATTGAGCCAGAAAGCCTTCGTTACTAAGCGATGCCATTAAACCTAACAGAAGCGTTCAGCACGTGAAAATCATACCCCACCAGCTATAAGCCTCCCACACCGGGGAAACAGGGACACATGGAATCAAAGACTTCCCCCAGGTTCAAATTTCTCCTGTTAGTGAGGAGGGAAAAAGAGTTAGTTTTATAGATATGAGGTAATCTTTGGCACAGTTTTTTTCACCCACGTTATTTAGGTTTGCATCATTTAAAAACGTGGCTTTGGAAAAACAACTTACAGTGCAGAAATCTGGTGGATGTCATCTAAGCCATGTGATCAAAGCTAACATCTCCAATATTGGGACAAATTGACATCCTATGCCTGCTTTTAAAATACACTGAAGAGGTCACAGCAATTCTCAAAAGTCCTGTCCAAAATGAATTACTTGGCTCTAACCATGAGGAATTCCAGAGTAAACCAAATTGAAGAAATTTTACAAAATAACTTTCAAAGTCAAGAAAAAGACTAAAGAACTATTCCAGATTAAAATTAAATACACAGAATAACTAAATGTATGATCTTGTATCCTGGACCTGGGAAAAAATTACTTATGAAGGAATTAATTGGGACAATGAATGAAATCTGAATAGGGATTGTGGTTGTAGATAGTAATACTATATCAATGTGAAGTTTCTTGATTTTGATCACTATACTGTGATTATACAAGAGAATTTCACTGTTATTAGGAAAGGCACACCAATTTGAGATGAAGGGGGCATGATATCTATAATCAACTCTCTGAAGGTTTTTTAAATTATATATAGGCATACATATGTGTGTGTATTTCAATAGATAGATCAATAAGAAATGATAAATCCAAAGAGCAAAATGTTGAATTTAGGTCACACATTCCTTTTGGAGAGTTCCATGTGTGATTCGTGCAACTTCTCATTAAGTTTGAACTTACTAGAAAATAAAAATTGTTTCCTGCAGGCTTCTGAATATTCCAGGATATAGACAGAAATACAGAAGTATTTGGCTTTGTTTGTTTTTTTTTTTTAATGAAAGCCTCAGTTTCACTCTTTTCTTCACTTCTAACCTCAACCCCATCCTCCTCTTGCTATGGGACAAAAGACTCCCTCATTGTTGTCTACTGTTCATCCCCTCTGGTTCCAGGGTTCCTGTCCTATGTAGTTGACTCTTTGCTTCCTATTACGGTAGAGAATTTTCCATAGTTTACTGAACAAAGGTTATCCTTTTGCTGCTTAAAGTGAATCCCAGCTCTACTTTTGACATCTGCTTTCATGGTTCAAGGAGTTCATGATAAGTTTCCCCACATAAATGGTTAGAGAGCTTCCTGAAGGGTGGCCCTTGTATCCAGAGTCTTCTTCCTGTGTTAGTCAGCTTTCCATCACTGTGACAAATACCTGCAAGAACTTAAAGGATGAAAGGTTTGTTTTGGTTCATGGTTTCAGAGGTTTCAGTTGGGGCCTATGGTGAGACAAAACATCATAGTGATGGGAGTGTGTGGTGGAGAAGACTGCTCTTTTATGGCAGCCAGAAAGAGGGCATGCAGGGAAAATCAAACTCTTAAAGGGCATGTACCCAGTGACCACTTCCCCAACTAGGCCCCTTTTCCTAAAGTTTCTACCAGTTCCCAATAGTCCATTAACCTATGGATCCATCAATGGATTAAACCATTGAGATTGAAACCTTCATGATCTAATCATCTCCAAAAGGTCTCACTTCTAAACAATACTACACTGGGGCCCAAGTCTTCAACACATGAGAGTTTGGGAGGACATTTCAGATGCAAATCACAACACCATCTTTATTAGTTCTGGAGCACAGATCCTTGGAGGTGAGGACCATTCTTCCCACTGCCAATGCCCACCAGAGATCAACAGGCCTTGCCTTAGTCTTTGCTTGAGAATGATTTGTCAGGGATGTCCAAACATACTGACCTCCATTCAGTTTCCAAAGCCCTAATAGCTTCTTCCAAGTACCTATACAAATAAGGTTCCTAAGGTCCTAATTTGAAAACACAGAATCCTTATCAAAGTTTCAATTTAAGCTTTCCTATCCCCCTTTCCTGAAAGACAATAGAGTTAGTACAAATGAAATGATCAAAAGAAGAGCAAGAGATGTTCTTGAGTGAAAGAAATCTCTCTTGGTGTTGGCATAGATTTAGGTTTAAAGCTGTGCTTCGTTGTCTTATCACTTACTCACTGCCAGAATCTGCTGCACAATTCTGTCAACCTGAGTAATGGATTGTTCCACTCTAAATCACCTCCAGTTCAGAGCCATTACTTATGGATGATGTATAGAAATCCACAGATACAAAACTCCTACATTGCCCAGGTGGTAGTATTCATCCCAGCATTTGGCTGACCTTGATATGGATCCTCACAAGGCTCCTTTACAACACTTTTAATCAAATAATGGCATCCATATAGTTTTGACCTTGACTCACAAGATTAACAATTGACATTCATAGGGATTTCTACATACAGATAAAATTTTTGACCATGGGTTTCTCTCCTGCAACAGACTGAATGTCTGTACCTGCTGTCAAACTTCATATATTAAAATTCTTACCCCAAAAGTAAGAGTAAAGAAAATGGGGTCTTCAGGAGATTATTGAGTCACAAGGGCAGGACTTTTATAAAAGGGAAACCAGAGTGCTCTCCAGCCCACTTTCTGCCATGTGAGGGTGCAATGACACATGGGCAGTCTCATTGCCAGAAGAGGGCCCTCACCAAACCTGACCATGGTGGCACCCTGATCTTGGGTTTCCAGACTCCTGAACCATGAGAAATAGATTTCTGTTGTTTATGAGCCACCCAGTCTATGGTAAAGCAGCTTTAACTAAGATATTCTCACTGGGATCATCCTTGAACAACCAGAAACTAAATAATTAGTAGGATTAATTTTACTTCCCCAAACCAATCCAGTCTAGTGGAGTGAAGTCTCAAAGTGTGGCCCCTGAAACAGCAGCAACAGAATCACCTGGGAACTTGTACAAAATGTGCACTCTTGCCTCCTGCCTACCTCAGACCTGCTGAATCAGAACTTCTAGTGATGAGGTCCAACAATCCATCTTTCAGCATGATTTCCTGGTGATTATAAGGAAAGACAAAATTTGAAAACCACAGAATTAGTTTAATAGGTTACACTGGCTTAGCCAGAACTGAGTGAGTGAAATTGGGCCCTGCTTCCCACACTCAGGCATTTTGTGTACTATATTCTGGACAGTCTTCTCTGATTGTCAGGAACCATATCCTCACATCCTCCAATATGAATGAGACTCAAAAACTATGTGCAAAGAAACTGGAATTCCCTGCATAGTTGTGCTTCAGATGTCCCAATGCACTGAGAGAGGTCAAGGAATGCAGGCAGAGAGAGTGATATGAAGGTCTCTGGGAAAGGATGGACAAATGGGACTGCATGAAGTTAAAAAGCTTCTGCACAACAAAAGAAATGCTCTCTAAACTGAAGAGACCACCCACAGAGTGGGAGAAAATATTTGCTAGCTAGACAAAGGACTGATAACTAGAATATATAGGTAACTTAAAAAACTAAACTCTCCCAAAATCAATGAACCAATAAAGAAATGGGCAACTGAATTAAACAGAACTTTTTCAAAGGAAGAAATCCAAATGGCCAAAAAATACATGAAAAAATGCTCACCATCTCTGGCCATAAAAGAAATACAAATCAAAAACATACTAAGATTCCACCTCACCCTTGTTAGAATAGCTACCATCAAAAACACCACCAATAACAAATGTTGGTGAGGATATGGGGAAAAAGAAACCCTCATACACTGCTGGTAGGAATGCAAGCTAGTACAACCACTCTGGAAAACAATATGGAGGCTTCTTAAAAAACTAAACATAGATCTGCCATATGATCCAGCAATCCACTCCTGGGGATATACCCAAAGGAATGCGACTTAGGTTACTCCATAGGCACCTGTACACCCATGTTTATTGCAGCGCTATTCACAATAGCCAAGTTATGGAAACAGCCAAGATGCCCCACTACTGATGAATGGATTAAGAAAATATGGTATTTATACACAATAGAATTTTACTCAGCCATGAAGAAGGATGAAATCTTGTCATTCACAAGTAAATGGATGGAACAGGAGAACAACATCTTAAGCGAAGTTAGACAGACTCAGAAGGCCAAAAATCATATGTTCTCCCTCATATGCAGACTTTAGACCTAAAACAAATGCAGTAATATTATTGGACATGGGTCACACACTAAGGGAAGAACACATACATGAGAATAGGGAAAGGTAGGAAACCCAAAAACCTGGAAACTGGTGGTCCCCTGAGTCAGGTTAGAAATCAGGTTTTATTGTAGCAGGGAGAAGAACCATAAGAGGAATAGACAGGCCTGATAAAGTAGCAGGAGGGAAGGGATGGTATAGCAGGGAGATAAAACCTAAAGAATCCAAACATAAAGAAGGTCACCTAGAACTAGAGGTAGAAGGGCACTTAGCACTAGGGTGAAGTAGCCTGTAGAATTGCATGTAACCATATATGGGTTGAACCTTGTTTTTTTAAATTTTATTGCCTCTGTAGCCTGCTTACAAGGGTAT